TCCGTGAAGAGCGAGTGTGTCCCGGCCGTGCTTCTGGAGGAACCACAGTGAGGTTGGAGCCTGGTCCTGCTCCTGCTGAAGGTTTCTTTGCTTCCAGCCTTCAAGGATTTTGGGACCAGCACTATCCCAGCTGGGGGATCTGCCCTGGATGCATCCTCTTGGGATGGAGGGATGGTCTGCCTCTCGTGGGTGAGCAGCTCTGGGCAGGTGGGATCAGCAGTCACTGGTGGGGTTTGAAGCATTTTGTTCTCGATGCAAAAGGCAGGAAAATGTTTCTCTTTGTTTCTTGTGCCAGAGTCTCAGCAGGAAGGGTCACTTTAGGCAAATGGAAACGTGGCCACGGGCAGAAGGATGTGCAGGATTTAGGGCACCCACTCGGCAGGCTCTGGGAAAACATCCCAAAGCTGTCCTGGAGTGGGGATGGGGACAGAGGAGGGGGTGCTTTGAGGCGTTCATCACCCTCAGCTTGGCTTATCTGTAGAGTTTTTTTGTGCTGGGAGGTCGTAGCCCAGCACAGGAGCCCTGAACTATTTTACAAATCAGCTTTTGGAGGTTTGTTTCTCTCCCTTTGTGTGTTCTTGGGTTTATTTTCCTTCTCCAGCGGAAATAATTATATCGCTTGTTTCCCATGTTCTGGCTCTCGATGAGGAGGAATGTACTCGGGGTTTTTTGTGTTGTGGTGATGTTTTGTTTTGTTTGTTGTTGTTTTTTTTTCCCCAGTGCAGTTTGTGCTGTTAAAATATCCCGGACAGCAGTAGCTGCCCACGTACAGCACAGAAACGCGTGTTTAGTGGTTGCAAGACATGCTTGCTCTGGGCGTGCCACCCTGTTTCGTTCAGTGCCTGTGTGATTGGCCATCATTTATTGTTCCATCAGGCTCAGGAGGTATCATTTACATTAGTAATTGGTGCTCTGTGCAGGCCAGAGTTACATTTGATTTTGAAATAAGTTTTGCCTCGGAGCTGCCCGTTTCTTGCAGGATGGAGAGGATGAAGTGTTGTAGAAGACACTTGGTAGTGAGGGGGGCTGATGGCTGGGATGTTGTCTTGGTTTTATTTGTGACAGCACATGAATTTAGGCAGAATATTCCTCTTCCATGCCTCACTTTCTCCACTGGAAAATAAAACCAGCATGACTTTTTCATTAGGGTCGAGCAGGAATTACTCTCCTCCCTCTTTGTGTCTCCAGTAGCATCTGTGATATGCACAGTCTGGGGACAAGCCACAGCCCTGCAGTAATTCTGCAGTAAATTCAGTCACACCTTTGTGTGGTTTGGTGTTGCTTGAAATTTTATAGGTCATGTGCCCCACTGAAATGATTTCCATGCCTGTGTTTGGAGGATCTGCTGTGCCCGTTTTCCTTTGTATCCGTGTGACTGATCCGGGGCCATATGTTAACAATATAACTGCTTTTAATTTATTTTTTTTTAAACCCGTTGGTGTCTAAATATATCTAATAAAAATGCAGACTGGAGCTCTTTAATGAGGCGTAAGTCATCCCTGCCTCTCTTTTTTTTTTTTATGAGACAAAACCACCTCACACCCTGGCTGCTTTTTGTGGGGACTTCTGCTTTGCATTTCTACACATCCATCATCGAGTGAAGCCTCTCACAAAGGGAAATGAGAAAAGGCAGTTTAAGAGAGCGATTTGCTGTGCTTAAACCTGAACTCTTGCAAAGTGAAAACGCTGTGCTGTAGCCGGGGAGTCACAGGCTGTGTGTGAGGATGCAAAGCGTTTTGGGGAGGAGAAAAACATAAAAATCGTGTAAGTTCAGCGCGATCGTGAATATTGTGCAGGGGAGAACAGGAGACAGGGAGCAGTTTGCAAAGGGAAAAATGTTTGCAAAGTGGCAAAATTTTCAAAGTGAGCGTTGGAAGTTTTTTTTGCCACCAAAGGAGAAAATCTTTATATTGTTGCTTGGCATAGCCAGGGGTTGGGCACTGGTGTACGGATGCACGGTCTCCAGTTTCGGGTGTTTGGGGAGGAAATATCTTTCCTGCAGGAACAGCTCTGGTTTGCAAAGTGCCTCGTGCAGCAGCTGCGGCTGCGGTTTGACAGCTGAAGTCGGAGCAGGGTTGTGAAATCAAGACTCCTCTCACACGTGGTGGTGGCCGGGTGTGAAATCCCGAGTGGCACCAGCACCCGCTCCGGGTGCAGTGGTCTCCCAGAGCTGCCAGGAACACTCCTGGCTGCTCCTGCCAGGACAGCTGTTCGTGGGATTGTGCTGGGAGATGTCTGCATTGGGGGAAAAAAAAAAAAAAAAAAGAGAAGTTGTGTTTGTTTTGTGCTTGTTTTGGAAGGGCCTTTCCCTTTCTCACTGCTCACAGGTTGATCCCGTGGTCGGTGTGGTGATAAACCCGGAGTTGGAACCCCAGTCTCCTTTTGCTAGAGAGGACACCAAGACTTGCCTCACCGGGCTTGAGAAGGAAGAGAAGCAGGAGAAGGGAGCCTTAGCAACTCCAAACCGTGAACAAGGACTGCAAACCAGTGTTTTGTGTATAAAACAATAGGTCTGTGAGTAATTGCTTAACGATGAAGTAAGACAGAACAGATGACAAAGAAGTGGATGAGTTTTCTGAAATGCCGGGCCCACGTGAAGAGTTTCTGAGAGGGAGGGTAGTCAAGGTTGTGGTTTTTAATTAAATGACCTCTTTTCACGGGCAGTCAAACTTTCAGACTTAGCAAAGCCTTGCATAACAGGAGGTGCTTTATTTACAGGCTGCACATTCCCTCGTGGACACAGGGGCACAAGGATAAATTATTTAATTGTAGATATCCCAAGGAGTGAGCCAGGCGCCTGCTGGGCCCTGTTGTCCCTGTGGTTTCCCAGCTTTGCCTGTTCCCTCTCTGGCTAATTCCCAAAATCCAGCCGTTTGCCCGAGTGGGCTCTCAATTATTAATGTTAATTAACGAGGTTCTGCTCTATGAATATTCCTGTAGCTTTCCAAACACACCAAGTGCTCAGCTCCCCACCCGTGTAACGAGCTTGTACCCAGCTCTGGTGGTAATTAGCTGCATCCCTCCAAGGACATGTGCCCCTCTTGGGGATGGGAGTTTTGTGGTAGTTACAGCAAGTCCCTGCTGAGACTCACTGGCAGACTTGTACCAGGGTCAGGTTTTCAGCTTTTTTGCCCTCTGTTTTAATCATTAGTTTCTCCTCTGTGCATTCTACTTGCTGGGCAGCGTGGTTGTAATATTAGTTCTTTTCTGGCAAAGTCCTGACTGGATCTGTGCTCCAGGTAGGGGTCGGATTTAAGCGTTATTCAAAAAGCTTTTGTGCTGCAGGAACGGTGCTCCTTGTGCTGACAACAGTTTTGTATCTCTGCCACCTAATAACCAGCACCTTCTTCCCCCAACAACTGTATTCGAGGGAGAAATTTCCCCCTAAAAATGTGGAAGTGCTGTTTGTTCTGCCAAATCCAATTAGGGCTTTAGTATCGCTCTGATTTAAAGTCCTTGCTGAGGGGATGCTCCTGTTGTGGGTGAATCATGGAATGGTTTGGGTTGGAAGGGACGTGAAAAATCATCCAGTTCCACCCCCTGCCATGGGCAGGGACACCTTCCACTATCCCAGGTTGCTCCAAGCCCTGTCCAACTGGCCTTGGACACTTCCAGGGATGGAGCAGCCACAGCTTCTCTGGGCAACCTGTGGCAGTTTGAAACATCCCTGAGAGGTGATTCTCTCTATAGCTTGGTAGAAGAACATTCTCCTCCTTTTTTAACACCCAGGGCAATAGAAGGGAAGAAGGTGGTTCCCTCTTACTGTACAAATAAATAAAATGACCGTAAATGAGAACCAAATTATATTTTAATTTTTCTATATGTTCAGGATGGAACAACGTTGTGAGATCAGCAGGTTTTTCCAGAAGAGGAGGGTTGTTCTCCAATATCTCTGCTTTGCCCCTGGTTTTATGTGTTCAGTATCATCCAGAAAACTCTTGGTTTGATTGTAATTTGCATTTAGATTGGCTGCCTGAAGGGAGTCGCTTTTGAGGGGAGATGGGGCTCTGTGGCTTCACTCTCTTGCAGATCTGGCTGAAAGTAGTGGCATTTACATAAAAACCATTAGCTCTGTTATTGATAAACATGAAAGGCATCTATTTCATTTAATTTTCTGATGAGGAGCCTTTAATATAAGCACACAATAGCACTGAGGTAGTTACATTCCTGCCCCCCATCCCTCCCTACTGACCTCTTGTTTTAAGGGCAAGTTTTGATTGGGATTTTGTTGGTGGGGAGATGGGAAATCATTTCTGTTCCAATTTCCTGAAGTAGCCAGTTGTCTGGCTACATTGTAGGGAATTATTTAATGCTCATTTTAAGAGGTGTCTCTATTAATTGAACGGGGATTTAATGTCTCCCCGAAGCACAATTGGTCTGTGTTTGATGTATAACCAACACGCACGTCTGGCAATTCTATGGATAATCTTTCCCTTAATCAAAATGGGTTTAAGCACAACTTCAGTGGCTCCTTATTAAGGGGATAAAGTGTGTTGAAACAACAAATCTATTAAAGGGAACTTCTGTGGTGCCTGGCAGACCACAGCCCACGGAACCCTCCAGCGCCGTGTCTGCACTAACATTTGTGTAGCCCTGCATCAGTGACCAGGATGTGCCACCAGGAGCTGGGATTCACTGGCTCTCTAGTAACTGGCTTTGTGGAGCTCTTGCTGCTGCTCTCACACATGAATATCTTGCTTTTCTCCTGGGCTGGGCCAGGGCTGACCTCGGGAGCCTCCAGAGGCAGCGGGTGCCACGATTGTTTTTAAGCATCACAGCATTTGCTGGAGAGACCTTGCTGTGAGCTTTGTGAGCTCTTTCAGTTCTTGACCTCAGAGCTGAGGGGGGGGGTGTGTTTCTCTCTGTTTTGCATTCCCTACCTGGCCTACTTCTTGATTTTTTTTTTTTTTTAAATTTTTTTTCCCCTAAATTTTAAAAATGCTTCCAAATCTTTTTTTGTCGCTTTGTCCATAGTTAAAACCCTTTTTCCTCTCTAACAGGCTCCAGACAGATGAGTAGGGAGCTGGCTACAGAAGAGGAACAGATTCCAGTTTTCCAGCTGGTCGCCCTGTACAGTGAGTACCTTAATATTTCAAGAATAAAACTTTCTGCAGTGCCTGATGTGGACCTAAAACTGCCTCCAGAGGGGCACAGCATTCACTCTGCCTGCTTGGACAGCGTTGTCCTAGAAATACAGGCATCCTTGGCTTAACTCTTGTTCTGGGAGAAGTGTTGCTCCAGCTCCTTTTGTCTGAGGTGGGAAATTGTATCCATATCCCACTTCCAGTAGCCTGAGCGGTGAAGTTATATCTTGGACCTGCTCAGGGCTGTGAGGAATCCACACCAAGGGTGTCCTGTGCTGCAGGATCAGGAGTGGAAATGGTCTCCAAGGCTGTTCCAGCCTCGTTGGAGGTGTGGGATGAGTGAGGAGGGTGGATGAGGGACCTGCCCCGGCACATGTCGGGGTTACTCATAAAGGCTGCTGTGAAATCAGGCAAACGAGGCTTGGCCGGACTGGTGGGCGGAAAAAAAAAGCCCTGGAAAGTGTCTCCTAGTTCATGGTGAGGTTTTCCCTGGAAGTGGAGGAGAAAATCAGTGTTTCACGGGGGATTTTTGCCCATTAAAATGTCTGGCACGCGTGTTAATGGGCTGCAGTAACGAGCCTGTGCTTTATGAGGTGTCTGCGAACATATTCGGATGTGCAGGTTGTAAATGCTGGGTAATCAGAACATCTTGGCCCATCTGGTGCCAGACTGGAAGGGTTAATTGTCTTGCAGGTGTCTGCAAGCCAGGAGGATGCTCTGCTCCTGGGTGTAAAATGCAGGGAGCGTGGGAGCTGCACCCACTGACTGAGACCACTGCACAATTCAGTTCATTGTGGCAGCCCTGGCAGGTGATTCCCAAAGGATACCACGGGATGATGAGTTTTGACACTGAAGGTGTTTGTTAATGAGAGTCAAGGACGAAATAATACACTCAGACTCTGGGTTGTGTCATCAGGTTGGTGTGGATATATCCAGGGAGAAGGGCAGAGAATTCCTGTGTTTCTGGGAAAGAAGGGGAGAGAGAGGTGTGCTGATTTGTGGCTTCCTCACTGCTCCTATATCCAACCAGTACATCGTGATGTGCAGGATGCCCTTGGTTCAGGTGTGTTACATATGGATGTAGCTTGTACTTCTGGATTCAGGACAGCCTGTCTTCCCTAACTTTGTGCCAAACACAGCAGCAGGGACTCTCCTCAGCTGATCCATCGCTCCTGTGAAAAACTCCAGGGTGAATAATAACCCTGGAAGTAGCAGAGAGGTCACCTGAAGGACAAACAATGCTATTATTGACCAGCTGTGCCACCGTGCCACGATCCTCATCGACAGCTCTAATCCCAGGCTGTGCTCCCAGGCAGATCTGCTGACTCCAGGAGCTGCAACATCAATACCATTGAATTCTCCTTCCCTTTTGCATATCTTAGGGAGAAGGTGGCGAGTTGCAAGCCTGACAGCTGTGCAGTCTGCACAAGGCCAGGAGGCTGCACAGGCTTCCCCCAGGACATAATTTGGGCTGCACGACATTTATTGCGCTGGTGTCGTGTGCAGCAGGCTCAGCACTGACCTTCAGGAGCTGTTTGGGGGCCCATGGCTGGGGGAAGCAGTGTAGGAGACAAGGATTTCAGGCTTGGAGTCCTTTTTAGGGTGGAGGACAGTGATGAAAGCAAGAAGGCTGCCTGTGTGAATTTAGGTCAGTGGGAGATAGCTGAGCAAAGGGCTGCTCTTGGCAGGGAGCTGGAACAGAGGAGATGCTGGAAACAGCCTGTGGTTGCCGTTGGAACAGAGTGGGAAAACAACCTGTTTCAAGGGAGTCCTTAACAAGTCATTTCTATGCAAGACTCCGTGGCTCTGGATATCTGAATAACCAGGCTGGCACTGGAATCTAAAGATATTTTCAGGAGACTCCTCTTCAAACACGACCTGAGGCTTCCTGGCTCGGCAGCAAAGCCAAGAACTGCAGGGGGTCGTGTCACAGACCCCTTCCTATGAGGATGTGGCATCATCCCCGTGGCCCTGGTGCTTCCTGTGCACCACGTGGGCTTGTGTGGTCTGTCAGCTCACAACTGCAGTTAGGAAGGATAAGGGAGAGCAGTTAATTGGGCAAGGAGGATTTGTGCTGCCTGTACCTCCTGCCTGCACTTCTCCCAGGAGCTCTGGGCAGTGAAGGGGTGGAATTCCTGCTTCTTGGATGCAGGGCACTGGGGGAGTGGAATTCCTGCTTCTTGCTGCTGTTCTTGTCAGAAGATGCTGTAGACTCTTGTCAGCTTCTTTAACACCTCAGAACATGGGAGGCCACAGGTCCATCCTGTCTCCAGCCATGGCAGGTAGGGATGTCCTTCATCTCACATCCATTTGTTTGTCTCAAGTGTGTTTTCAGGCTCTGTCCTGTCACCAGGCATTTCAAAGTTCACCTCTGTGTGATGAACCACTTCCTTTTGGTGACTGCACCAAAAGCCAGCCCATTTAACTGCAGGGAGCTCCTGCTTGGGGAATTGTTGTTTGCACATTTGCTGGTAAAATTCTGTCAATCCCTCTCATGTCCCCTGTCAGAGGCCTCTTTTCCAGAGTAAAATGTCCTGATTAATTGACTGGTCCCTACAGAGTCTTTGACCTCCATGGCCTTTGGTCCTCCTTGTCTTTGTCCATCTTCACTATTATTTTGTCCTCTTGATGGGTAACTTTTGGTCATGGTGCACATCTCTTTTATTTTTTTTTTCTCCTCTTGAATGTCCTTACTAGAAGCCTCATAGAACCTTTGGGTTTCTGAGGGCCTGCCCTTTTCCTGCAGTTCTCTCTAGGTACAACCCTGGAAAAGAAACCAGGAATTTTGATGCTCCACAATAAGCCACAGACTTTTTTTTTTTTTCTCTAAAAAGTGGAAGTTTATGTGCCTAATCTAAGAACTCTATCAGAAAAGCCATGGATAAAGCTGATAACATTCCAGTGCACTGAATCCCTAGAACAATACAGTGTTCAACAAGGAGCTCTGGCTCCTTGTTCACACAAGGTTGTGTGAAGCTGTCAGCCAGGATATGGGATGTCTCTTTGGATCCTGCAGTGATTCTGTGAAACTAAAAACCTGCTGGTGTCTACTGCATCTTCTAAAAGGGGGACAGGAAACACTCTGGGTGTTAAACCTGCTTGGTTAAGAAATGAAATCAAAAGAGAGAGTTAGATATTAGGCTTATTTAGTTAAATATAAATCAATGTCATTAAACAGGTTCTGCAGGGGCAAGGCCTGGCCCTCCATCCCCTCTGCTTTGCATGAGTGATATTTGTTTTATCAGTGCTGTGGCTTCCCAAAAGTGGAACTGGAATGTGATGTGAGTGAGATGTTACCTCGCAGGGTTGCAGTCTCAGCTGCAGGGAAGCTCTGCAGCCTGACCTGCCTGGGGCTGGGACAGGCCTGTGGTTTTCACCATCTGCCCTGACTCACATCTGTGGCTTTTGTGCTGCCCTGAGGTGAGTCAGGGCTCCCACAGGGATGATTAAAGCCCTGCCCTGTGGGCAGCCTGGGAAACCTGGGCCTCCCTTCAGCTGAATCAGAGCTCCAAGGATCATCCAGAGCAGTTTTCCCAAGTGTTGAGGCTTTTTCTTCCACGTCTTCAAACTCCAGTGCTCTTTCTACCATTTTGCTTTTCTTCTTTCCTCTCTGCTGCCTTCCCCAGTGCTTCCTTCCTGCCTTTAAAAGCAAAGAACCCCCAGAGCCACCCAGACCTGTCTGGGCTTTTTTGGTGGCTTCTGTTCTGCCCAGAGGAGCCAAAGGACCAAATCCTGGTGTCAGTTTTCTCCCCGGTGTGTGTCAGCAAATGCACCATCATTTCACTGCACAGATTTGTCCAGACACTGGTAATAAAACACCAGCTCCCTAAAGCCTCTCCTGACCTGCCAGGATGTGTCACCCCACTCACACAGTCCTGAATCCAAGGACTGTGGAGTCTTCCTGGACAGAGAACAGGAGGAGGAGGAGAGAGGGAGAGAAATACATCCAGAAATTACAGGTTGGTTTCAAGTCTATCACTGCTCAGGGTGTCTCAACCCCTGCTTGTTGGTGAAGACTGGAGGCTTTTTCTTTCCTTGCCTTCATATATATATATATATATAGATATATATGTATATAAAATATATATTTATGGTTCTTTCTCATTCTTCTTTTTACATTTCTGGGGAGTTGCACAGAGCCAGCTCGGCAGCCCACAGACATCCCACTATAAGAATTTAGCAAGATAGTAAATTAAGAGTAATTTCTAATCTGGCTGGGAGGAGAACAGCCAAATTGGCTGTTTCTCCTGTTGGTTTCAGCATTATTTTTGGCCAGGCAGTCCTTGGAGGGTGTAAATGCACCAGACATGGATCTCTCTGCAGGAGGGATCAGCTCTTCCTGGACAGCACTGGAACACTGCAGCTCTTTATTTATATTTTACTCTTTTTTTTTCAGTACACTGGGTGAATAATACATCCAGTGTGGAAAGGGCTTGTAAAATGCTGAGTTGTGTGCTGGAATTTTGCTCTGCCCAGGAAAATCTCTTGTGATGAGTTTCCATGTAGGGGAAGGTTGGGGCGAGGGAAGGTTTGGAGACCTCGCCGGGGTCCCTGCTGGGATCCAACCACACTGGGGAAATGTTGTGCTATAAATGGGGAACTGGGAGAATCCAGCCCTTGCTGGGGACTTTTCCATTTAATGCAGCCATTGAAAGTGGGACTGGAGGCTGTGTGGGACAATGCTGTGGTGGAGGAGCTGGAACAGGCGGCCTTTGTGGCACCATCACAAAGCCACCAGTATGTGCTGGAGGGCTCCTGCTTGCTGAGCCTGTAATATCAGCCCAGGTCCTGTTCTCCTCCCCTCCCTGCCAGGAACTGGGTTGTATTTGGGGAGAATAAGTCCCTGTTTGTGTGTTTTATTTCTTTTCTGCTCACAGTTCTTCCTGGATCACGTGGGGGGTAGAGGAAAAGAGCTCAAGGGAGGAGAAAACCTCGAGGTGAGATCCTTCCCTGAGTGTTAGGGCAGGGCTGCAATGCTCCATCCCTCCTCC